CTTCGTCTGTCCCGCACTGATACTTCAAATAAACGCACTGAAATAGAGACAGAAAGACACTAGATTGCAGGTTCATCATTAATAATAATAATATTAAACTATAAAATATAATTATTAAACATAATACCTATGTGTTGAACCAGAATTGATTTACTGTGGACGTGTGAATGAAAGGAACACCTAATTTCCAACATTGTCAGCAAACTTTCAAACGAATCGCCTGTGCTGATTCAAATTGACGTCTGAAGATTGTTATCAGATTAGGCCAAGATACTTTTAGAGAGGCATGATCGGTATATGAATTTTCCATAATACATTTCATCATTAAATTCCTCCATTATCAGAGCTGGAGATGCGCCTTGGGAACAAATTGTGAACAGCGGTATAAATCCTCAATATCAAATTTAGAGACAGACAGCGTAATTGGATTCTCTCATTTTTTTTGAATTTTTGTGAATAATTTGAAAATCACAACTCTGCAGTGAAATTATTTTCCCCTGAATGAAAATCACCAAGTCTGAGTACGAGGAAATTTTACTAATTTAAAGTAACATTTATTTGAAACTGGTACATACGAGTAATTTGCAGGTTAAATCAGAGAAAAGAAACTCCAGAAAGTTCTATGCAGTCACCACTTTTTGTAGAAATGTTATCAGCATATGCTACTACTAGAATCTACTCTCAAACATGGTCAAATTTTATCAAAACAATACTATTTACATCAAATGGTTGTTGTAATTGTACATGTATTTATTATTGTTTACATTTAAAATAGTGCAAAACGAGAAAATATACGAAAATTGAGCATAAAGTAACGACTTGAGAGTGGGCTCCTCTCAGAAAATTCCATTGCCTCCCCTTGAGAAGTGTTTTAAATTGATAACAATCTCCAGATATCAACACAGGTGATTCGTTAGCAAGTTTGCTCATGATGTTGGTAATTGGGTGTTCCTTTCATTCACGCGTCCACAGTAGTAGACATTGCAAGTGCCCTCCAGAGGCAGTTTTCTACAACTACCCCGGTATATGAATGCCATTTTATATTTACAAATATTTGTTATAATTGAGTTCATAGTAATGAACCATGTAAGTATGACATCATCAATGATGTCATGACAGAACAGCAGAATATGATACAATTACTAGATTTCAACCAATACGAGAACACACATTATGCACATTATAAGATTTCTCGACTGCAATACGAAAAAATGAGACTTAATTCTCACCTTTTTCTTTATGAGCCCAAGATGTAGCTACTGTGAAATCAACCTCTCTTTCATGGTCAAGGTCAACTTTATTTCCAACAGCTACTATTGATACCTGAAAAATGTGGTTTATCAAATCATAATAGACGATATAGATGGATATCACGTAGAAACAAACAATTTAATGACTTTCCTGCTTCCCTCTACTTGAATACTAAACATTTGTGGACAGTACTAACCTGGTATATAATTTTTAGAAAGTAATAAGCTTATATATCATTTGTAGACAGTGGTAACCTTATATATCATTTGTAGACAGTAAGTACGTGGTAACTGCAATAATTACCTCTTTTTTGTCTCTTGATTTATCAATTTCTTTTTTCAATTTGTCTATTTGTTTGAATGATTCTCTGCTTGTAATACTGTAGACAAGAAGGAAACCCTAAAACAGAACAGAATCATTTGTCATTCCACTTCAATTTATTCTTGGTAAATTATAAGCTGTTTAAAACTACAAGCCTTGACAGAAGCTGATCATCATTGTTTAAGGTAGATTTGTCTTTCTATATGTTATATTTGCAAGTTTAAATTAATTTGGTTACTGATGATAATACAGAATACATGTACTAATAAAAAATTGTGGTAATAAAAATAATTTATCAACAAAACAAATTAATATCTTAGAAATAGGAATTATTCTTTTTAATGAGCACAAATACTTCTTCTTCATTTCAATAAATAGTGCTTCATTTTTTCAGATAAAAACAGATAACATAAAATTTACCACGATTTGATCTGGATTGCCAAGATTAGAAAGAAGTTCACACACACAGTGTCATGTCAATGCAGACACTATGCAAATCTGCCAACAAATATTGATGTGATCATGTGACATCATATTTTTATGCTAAAGGCAGACATTCAAAAATATATTTAATGCTTAAAAATGGCGAGTTTGGTCCATTATTAATTATTACAGGGGATCAAACATTTATTCACACAAACAATGTGAATTCAAGCATTATGGCATCCATTAAACATGTACAAGGTGACGATATACTGTAAAACACTTTATTTTAGCTGGAATTTTTTTTCGCTGAAAAGATTTTTTGGGTGTTTTGTATGGAATTTATTTTCACTTATTTTTTTGACGAGTTGAATGTAAAATATAGGGAAAAGGTATATTCGCTGGATTTTATTTTCACTGATTCATTCCTTCAGCGAATGTAGCCAAAATCAATTCCAAGTGCAAAAAAAGTATTTTACAGTATCGACTTCTAACAACATGATGCCTCGTGTGCAATGAACTCTTCTCAAACTGACAATACTTTCTATCTGAGTTTACTAAGGGAATTTACAACCTATATTTAATTGTTTTAAAGCATTATTTTTCTCACCTCATGTCTGTAGTTGTGAGCTTTAATTCACCAGCAAAGGACAATGTGAAAGAATGGCAAATGTAATTCAACAAACACCCGCAAACGTTGTATTTAGTGGCATTCATGTTAGGGATCTTGGCACGTGCTGAGACTTGGTATCGAGTCAGCACGTGCCAAAACTTGTGTGTGAACGATCGGAACCGAGTCAGCACGTGCTGAAAAAAACTCAATCTCAGTCCTGGTGGATGCTTGGGACCGAAACTTGGCACGTGCCAAAATTTGCTGACTGAACGCTCGGTACGAGCCGAAATCACGCCATTGGTGGTAAATTTAAGAGAACATATAGTGATTCATACTGGTATGACAAGACGATGGAGGGAAGTGCAGCTATATATGGTCGGTTGCTGTAGTAATGAATGAAATGAGTGCAGAACGTTGTCGGCGACGCATATTTATGTGCTGCTGCAACTGCTATTTTCTTGCAAAAAATGCTACATTGATGTGAACAAATAATTGTTTTTTGAATCTTCTTTGCCATTCATGTGCATGATGACTCATAATAAATACCATAACAACAAATGGATATAATTTCAGTATATCAATTATGTTTGGGCCAAATAACAGATCAACGAATGAGGGCGTGATTTCGGCACGAGCCGAATCAGTCCTAAGTGGGCCCCGAATAACGTGAATGCAACTGCTGTAATCCCTCTGCAAACACAAAGAATTAAAAATTTCGGCACATGCCGAGATTCCGTAACGTGAATGTAGTATTTATTTTTTTAATTCACTTGATAAATTTAAGGTTGAATGAATAGTTGAGTGCACTTAACTATGATGGCCACTTATAATACTTACATCTGCAATGGTGAAGTAATGTTTTGGAAGTTCAGGGACATCACTGTCCTGTAAAAAAGTAAATACATCATAATGCAACATACACTGGCAGTATTAATTTGTTATGAAATTCACAGACAGTCATTCAGTGTACTCAGTTTATAATAAAGATTTCATAATATGAAATGAATGATTGATTAGATTGATAAGATACAACACATAAAATAAATAGAATAAAATGTACTCACTAAACCCCCAGTGTCATAAAAGCGGACCTTTTCTTTCACTCCTCGTTCTGTTTCAATCATTGAGACATAGATATCTTCCACTGTTGGAAAATCATTTGACTGCAAAAAATCAAATTAAAGACAATGAGACAGCAAAAACAATCAATAATTACAATAAGTCTTTTTTCTTAATTACAACAAGATAAAGTAACAGTAATTTGCATCTATGCATGGTGATGGTTATGCAAATAAGCTACAATAGTTTACGATCCATGCACTCACAATATATACATGTAATATATGCATTAGTTTTTAGCCTTAATAAGCTTAAAAACGAATACATGGGATAAACAGGCTATCAAATGTGTGATAATGCTTGATGTGAAGTAATTTTTATTTATTTCTCACCTTTGGCTCGTTTCATAAACTGATATTGACAGTACTGATCAGTTCATATTACCAGACTTCACTCTGCTACAAATTGATCTTTCAAAATAGACTGTACAAAATATTTTTTTCGTTCAGTTTTGAGCTCAATTTAACACAATGATGTCGCTGAAATGTTGTTCTCTTTTCTCTCAAATGGATTTATTTTGACAAATATATATTTTTTCAGTAATTTTCCAGGTAGATTACATTTGTTCATTTTTTCTCAGTGCAGATTGGTTTCCCAAATGCACCGATGTATCTTATGGCAATCTCTCTAATTTAGACCATGCACTAAAAGAACAGACTACCGGTAGTTAGCAGATTTTCATTTGAAGATGTGTGCCATGTTTGTTTTGGAGCTTAACTTTTTCAACAACAGATTGAACTATTAGTTGTGTTCACGTTACACGAAGTACGGGCTAAGATTTAAGCTGATTTAGGCTTATCTAGCATATTTGCATTTCGGCTAGACCCAATTGCGTCCACGCACAGGGAGGGCCAGTCGTTAGCACGGACTAAGGGGTGCCATTAGTCGGTGACCTTTGGTAAGCCGCTATTTACGAACGAAAAATGGATGACACGCGCAAGGTTCTATTTCTGCTGCTGGCATGTTTCGTTCTAAATTTGAAGCGACGTGCACAGGAACGCGAGAGAAGACAAACCCAACTTATTTGGATGCACATAAACAGTATACAACGGTCGTAACAGAATACAGAGTTTTATTAATGCATGTCGTAGACAGCGAACCAAATTTATTTTGTCTACGATTGGAGCTGCTGTACGCTCTACTACTACAGTGACCCGATTAGTGTGGAAGCGAGCGCGGAGTAATGACTGGTGGCATAGTGTCGTTATCCTCGGGGGCAGACATCCGGGCATTTTCACCACCTGGCAACCAGCGGCGGTGAAAACAAAGGCTCAAAACTCACAGAAAACGGTACTTTGGGATGATTGTTGAGACTCCTCTGAACAGTGTAACAAGATTAGCCCTACGTGTGTAACATATATAAATTTGGTTGTTCGGGATTACTTCAAAGTTGAGTTTGTGTTGTTTTCTCGAATTTTCACCGGCTCGACCGGCGTTCCACAGCAGCGCGCACAGAGCCCATATAGAAATGCATGGTACAGTGGTGCGCGTCTTAGTAACGTGGAACGTCTGTGACGTAGCTCCGCCCCCGAGGATATGAACATGGGACAATTTTCACACCCAAAGGTCGCCGCAGAGAGCGCTTAGCCCTGGGCTAAGCGTTCGTGCATACTTCCTTAGCCCGTGCTAAGGTCTAGACCGCGTCTTAAATTCGGATCAGATTTAACCCGTACTTAGCATTCCTTAGCCCGTGCTAAGCGTTCATGCACGTTTTCTTAGCACGGACTAAGGAATTTGACCTCTTAGCCCGTGCTAAGGAGCTGTGTGTGAACGCAACTAATGTGTCTATAAAGTAATAGCTAATGTTAATTTAATAATAATAATAATAATAATGATGTTTAGCAATGCACATTTCAATGAAGATATCATTAGAAAATGAAAAATATGTATAGTATCAAAGCAATTGGATTCGCTGTTTTCAACAAGTATTCGAAAATATCACTTTTACTAAAAAAGACAAAAATATTCATCAAAATTAGTAAATTGAAGATATCATCATGAAAAGAACAAATATGGAAGAGTAGTACCTATAAATATAATATCAAAGTAATCGGACTTGCAGTTTTCAACAAAAAGTCGAAAATATCACTTTTACCAAAAATACCAAAAATATTAATCAAAATTAGGGAATTGAACATATCATCACGAAATGAACAAATCAAAAAGAGGTCTGCCCAAGGTATCAAAGCAATAAGAATTGTAGTTTTCAAGAAGAAGTTGAAAATGTAAAAAGTTGACACAGCGGACGACAACGACAGACAATCACTCATATGATAAGCTCTGCTCGACAATGTTCACATTTATAGAGGTGTTTCGGGTTAGGTATTTCATCCTTTCTTTATTTCTAATGTATGGTTATTAATTTCTAAAACGTGTCATTGTGTTTCTTATTGAATTGAGTATAGATAAATAATGCTAAAAAATGTACAATTCCTTAAATTTGGCAAAGGTCCTAAGTTTTCATTTTTGATGTTTAATCTCCAGAATTTAATAAATTTTGTTTTAATATTGTGGGTTATAAGAATCCATTGAAAAATGTGTACTATTTTTTTTTTATCATAACTGCCTTAACCCACGATAATTCAAATCATGTTCATAAAATGCCTGTTTGTTTCGAGTATTTTCTGAAAATATTTTTTAGCCGAAGTTCTGATCTGCAAGCTAGGTTTGGTGAAAATTTGTTTACCCCTAATCATAACAACACATTGGCTTTTTCTGTGGAAGAAAAATGGTCTGCTTTGAGTAAGTTTGTTGACCACGACAATGATGATTATGACTGGAATGTTTTATTGTGGGTCAAAAATTTGTTAGACTGTATGGATGCAATGCAAAATTGCATTGTGTCTGAGATCATGCACAGGCTTTTTCTTTGTACCAATGTTAACACCGATCCCATGTTACCTTCTACATTGCCTAACAGAGAAATGAAATTAATAGTTTTTATGTATTCTGAAAAGATAAATGAAAATATCAAGTTCCTACTAAATATAGAATTACTTCAATAGCTTAGTTTCATGTATATATCAAGTTTTCAAATGCAATGTTCACATTCAATACTGCTACTTGACCCTTTTAGAAATAGTTCAACAAATTCTGGCAAAAGTCAAAATAATGAGAAATATTACTCTCAGTTTGTTCATTATTATGTATTGATAACTATTTTAGTTGAAAGTAAGAAACATTAAAAATACCATAACTCTCCCAAAAATAGACTGATTCGAACAGAAACAATAGCCTCTGAAAGTTTGATGTTCACAGATTTCTTTTTCGATTTGGCACAAAAAACGATATTATGAAAACACACAAAGCAAATAAAAACAAATACGTTTGGAAACCTTTGGGTAGGTTTGTGTCAATGAACTACCAGAAAGGTCTGTTCTGGCACGCATCCTATAGACTTATACTAAAATATGTTTGGATAATTAGAGTAGAAACAAATTCTCATTTCCTGTCCGGTTAGACTTAAAATATACCAGGAATATTATTTACATTTGAGATATAATTTTTGGTATGTGTTGTTTCTTGGATATTTCAGCTTTGTTCCTTGTCCTGTACCTCGTTTAGTAATTCAAACTTCCCAGATTGCTTAAAAATGGATAGTTTTGCGATTTTGACAAGGAAAATGTCTGGGCTACATCATTTGCTGATGGACGGCCGCTTAGGTAACTTGCAGCACATGAACCTAAAAGTGTTAGGTAATCGAACAAAAAATGACTTTGTACTAAACTATATACAGTACAGTACATTCAAGGTCTTCACTTTTTTATAGCATAAAAAAACGGTTTTCACTCTAACTTATAATGACACCCTCAAAAGCAAGTAACTTCCATTCTCCTCAAGGGTAAAAAATGGTTTAGTCCACTACTTCACATTGCGACTCAAAACAGTGTGTTATGCTTCACGTGTTTATTTGCCTTCACTTATGTTTTGGTAGTAGCCACTCCCATCCCTGATATCTTGTCGATAATATTTTGATTCCAATTTTTACAATAAAAATAAATGTATATGCGCTAAAGTACATTGCAGGGTTCACATTCTCATGGCATAAACACTATTTTCACCCTTGCTACTAAAAGTAAAATATGTTTGGGTCACAATCACCGTAGCTATCGCCACGGAAAGTACTCTCTCACCTCCTATTATTGTCGGCCAAGTAATTCATGTCCCCAATTCTGGTTCCCGGGTGCCTCTAATAAATAAGCTATATTACCGCTGGGCTGAATCAATGATATATCATCCAATAAATGAATGATTGGGCGAAAATCTTTTTTCTCCTTTTTTTTTTAGATCTTGACTTTTTGCTATCGAAAAGGCATTCACACTAAATTTTGGTTTCCTTGTCGCCTCTAATAAATAACCTATCTAAGCGCTGGGCTGAATCATTCATATCATCAAATAAACATGGAAGATTGAGCGAACATTTGAAATGTTGGTCGGGATATTGCATTACTTGCATTACATTGCGTTTTTGTCGTGTCAAAAATTGTGTTTTTATAGTCTCTTGAGTTTGTTTCAAAGACTGCAGTCGCTCAGAGATAACCAGAAGGTTGGAAAGTTTGTGTGAAATTCACATGCAATAAATTGTTGTTTTTTTTAAAAGTCACATGCAGTAAATAATGTCCCTCAAATTTGTTTTTGACCTTTGCCACCGTGACCTATTCCCCCAACAGAGAGAATTACAGCACTAATATTTTTAACAAAAGAATTACATAGATAGGTAAAAAATAGAATAGCTTTCACTAGCATGGGTTTTATATTGGCCTGAAAACTAGCAAAGACAGTAAATGTTGCATTATTGCTGCCATGTTTATGTATCCTTAACTATTCCCTCACCAGAGTGAATTACATCACGAATGTTTGTTCCCCTGGAATCTGTAATAAAACTGAATTCATGTCTTTCATTAAAATTCCTAAAGGTTTGTGTAGTTTTGGACTTCACTGGTTACTGCGTTTCCTGGAATCTTGCTCTCTTGCCAATATCGATTGGGTCACAATCACTGTAGCTATCGCCCCTTGGTTATTATCACCGAATTTTTGTCGCTGG